CAAATAGATATAAAAAATAGTTAAACGTGAGTTTTAAAGAAAGACGTCTTAACTCGCATTTTTTTTTTTAAAAAAAATCAATTATTTCATTGACATTTATGATTTTTGCGATACAAATTTCTCAATATAATTTTCATCATTTTATTAGGAAATTTTATATGGAATATGATATCAAAAAATTTCAAAATTTTACATTCGAAAAAGTCATATTTCATGTAAATTTTCGGATGGAAAATTACATGGGATATGATTTTTTTGAACGTAAATTTTCAATTGTAAAATTTCTCCCAACTTCTTTGCAAGTTCGATTGTGCCCCTCTAAATTTAAACTTCTGCGTCCACCCCTGCTCATCAAGGAGTATTATCATCAAGATCGACCATGAGATTTTGAGCGTCTTATACAAAATATAAGAGTGTCCTCTTTCATTTAAAGTAGAAAATAAAGCTATATATTAATGCATTTTAAAACTATTACATAGCAATAATACAACTTTTGTTGTATACAAATTTATAACGATTTATAATTCAGTTAAAAAAAATTAATTTTAATCACACATTCATTATTATTAATCAATATTATCTATACGTTTTGTATAATCCAACTACTATTTTTCTTATTATTCATACTTATAAGCATTTATAAATTTATAAAACGGAGGCGTAACAATTGTATTTTCTACAATTACAATGACCGTCGTTCATATTAAGACAAGCTTGGTTCATATTGTTGCTTCTAGTAACCTATGCACAAAATACAAAGAAAACGATACTTCCATAGCCTTCAAACAATTCAAAATAGCATGATAACCTTTATTCCTTTTAAAAGTTCTTTACTTATTTACTTTTTGCAAATTATTCAAACGGCTAACTAGTTATCAACTCTCAAATAATTCACTTTATTTACTTAAATCCAACGAAAAAAATGTAGTGAAAATTTTCAAAAACTTACATCCCAACCTTGTAACAATCTTCAATATATTTTTGCAAGTAATATGCTATAACTTTGTCTAAAAGAATTTTCCAACAGGCAATAATACGAAAAATAGAGATTCAGCAGTAATTTCAAATTCACAATCTGCTAAAATTAGCATATTACCCTAGTTTCTTTGTGTTATTATAACGTTCCAATGGGCTTAGAAGAGTGATTTTTGCTTATTCACGATGGACTTATTTTCTCTTTCTCCGAATATTTTGTCGAGGTTGAATGTGCAATGTATTGAAAATAATTGTGAAAAGACTAGAAAGAATATTGAGAATATATTTTGGGTTCAATTTTCATGGGAATAACTATTGAGTTTTTTTTTTTGTGTGCAAAAAGGGTCTGGGCATAGTTCGATTTGGGTTGATTTTGAGCTCAACTCGAAACTGAAATCAACTTGGTCAATTTGGGTAAATTACAACCCAAACCGACCCAATACATTTGTTGAAATCTAACCAAACCAACGGTTGAACGTTTGTTTGAGTTAAAAAACATTGCTTACTTATTTTAGGTTAAAAAAATTGTTTGCCTTTATTTTTCTTACCTGCGTAGTACGTATTTATAATATATATAATATAATACAAAATGGTAAATGATCGATTTTTCTAAAGTCATTCTATATAGTCGATAGTTACCAGTAAGCAATTACATTAAAAAGAAAAGTAATGTTACAGTTTAAATTTGGAATTTACAATAAACAATTCTTCTCATGGTGGTGGTTGTTGTTTTGTTTTTTTTTTTTTT